GATCGATGAAAATCGGATTAAAGAAACTGTACTGAAATTACACTACAAATTGGTGCAACCAAGTTGCATTTTTAATGTGAAATTGGATAATTTCCACCTGGCAGCTTTGTTGTAACCGACTTTATCTTCTACAGTGCACAAAGTATATTACAATCTACAAATTCTAAAATATCCTCACAAGGGATGCAAATAATGTACCAGTTTAACCCCTTAACTTGCACGCTCGAGTTAATTCGAGCGCGCTAAACAGGCCAAACTGTGCACACTCGAGATAATTCGAGCGGCGTTGTATTTGATGCTGCTATAATTTTTCACACTCGAATATATTCGAGAATTGAAAATAACAATGTGAAAGCTAAGAAAAAGAATCGTGTTATTGATATTTATCATTTACATAGGATTGTAAGCTATAATACTTATTTATTCGAAAATAAAATATAGCCTTTTTCCATGGAACAAAAGCGCAGTATATCGAAATTGTCCACTAAAAGAAAAGTGGATTTTTTTTATTTTTTTGCCAAAACAATGTTCTAAAGTTTGTTTTTTTTACATTAAAAAAATTGATTTTTTTTGGCCGGTTTTTTTCAAAAAAACTGTGCGTTAAGGGGTTAATATCGTGCAGGGTGCTTCAAAAAAATGTTATCCATAAAATCAAATTTAATTAATCCTTTTTATTCTCTGTGTGCTTTGATACTAAAATTGGAAGAATTGCAAAAAGTGCAGTTAATCATTTTCACTTCTAAGTGGCTCATGTATAAATTGTCGTATACCTCTCTCCTATCTTTCATTAATTTTTAGTCATCCTGCCTCCTTTCCTTAACTGTAAACAAATCCGCATCATCCTAACGTTAGTCACCCCGAAACCTAGACCTCCACATCATCCTTTACTCATCGCTGAACCTAGACCTCACCGCCTCTCCCTACATTGACCTCTGAGACCAACCCCTACTCTCGTACTTACCGAACCTATATCTAGAAACCTTTTCCGTCGAAACAGCAGATTTTTGTCTAGTGGTCTTCACGCACCGAACGTCACCGAACTGTCTAATAAAGTCGAATAGTACTACGCGCAGAATAGCTCCCTTATTTCGCCCCAGTTTCCGTCAGGCTCTCCTACCGCGTACCTATTGAATATAATAAACCAACGCAAGGAATCGCGAGCCGCGGAATATAACAAAATATATCTTTAATACGATATATTGTCAAATCTATTTTTCTAGAAAAAGAAAGTTACTTCCACGTGAATGTTAACATATCCTTTTCTAAAGCACCCTGTATTTTCCAATTCGAATTTTTCCACACTAAAGCTGTATTTCTTAAGATACAAACGGAACAGTTTCGACGGAATTTCTCTGTACTTTCAAGTTAATTTTCATACGAACACCGGAGCATGAATCGAAACGTTTTCATTACAATAGCCCCGGCAATAAGGTGCGAGCCTTTCAATCACGATTACCGTGTAAACTCCCGGAGCGATAAAGCGCGCGCGAGGCTACGAAATCGACTCGTCGAGAGACGAGAATCGAATTTCCTTTCATTAAGCTGTTTAATGGTTTCGTTCGAGCGGAATTTCAAATAGGTGGCTAGGAAACAATGGGCCGTTTAATTGGCTGCTTTACATTGATTTAAGTTAACCAACCGCGTCGAAAGCTATTATCAGCCGTTTTATATAGTTGCGCATTCTTTCGTCGGATGATTAAGTGGAACTATTAATCAGCCGCATAATAGAATTTTAAAAGACCCGTCGTTGACGCGTCGAACGTCCGATTCCAGGCTTCCAATCGAGCAGAAATATGAGTCAGATACGGTTATGGCCGCACGCTATCGATTCTATGTATTCTTAGAACTGTGTCAATTAAAAATCGTCCTAAACATATTTCAAATTGCGATACGCTAATTTAATACTCGATTTCTCGATAAAATTTCTCTACAGTCCTCTGATGTCAATTCTGTAATAGTAAAAATCCTCTTCGTTCGATATAAATTCGAAAATTCATTAATTCGAATGAATTTTCAGTTGTTAATATCTATCAGTTTTTCGATAAAACTTCTCTGCAATCTCCTGATGTTCATTCTAGAATAGTAAAAATTCTCTTCGTTCGATTGAAACTCGAAAATTCGTTAATTTGTATCTTCTTCTCTTAATCTTATGTTTTTCTTATTTTTTTCCATTTTTATAAAAGATTATTTATATATTTTAACTAAAAATTCTATATATTCTATGCTTGTTTTGATTGTTTTTGTTAGAGGTTTAATAGTTGTTTTTTCTTATTTTGTTAATTTGGAAAATAGGGTTTGAGGTCGTAATTTAATGTCTTATTTGTATTTGTATCCATTTTTGTTTGGAATTATATATTTATTTTACAATAATTTTTCGTATGTATTAATAATTGATTATTTTGATGTTTCTTGGAGTAATTATTACGATTCTTTTTATTTTATTTTTCTGGATTCTAATTTTTCTTTTTATTTTGTTTTGATGTTATTTTTGTTTTTTATTTTGATTTTGTCTTTTTCTATATGTTATAGTAATAAACCCTTACGTAAATATTAATTAATTTTAATGTCAATAAAGTTTTATAGTTTATTAAATAAAAATAAATATGTAAATATATTTTTGTATTCTGTTCTAATGCTTCCGACTCCTTTAAATATTAATATTTGGTGAAATTTTGGTTCTATACTGGGTGTATTTTTGATAATTCAAATTGTTTCAGGTTTATTATTGTCTATACATTATTGTCCTAATGTTGATTATGCTTTTTTAAGTGTTATTCATATTATAAAAGATGTAAATTCTGGGTGGTTAATTCGTTTAATTCATATAAATGGTGCTTCGTTTTATTTTATAATAATGTATATTCATATTAGTCGTAATATTTATTATCAATCATTTAAGTTGATTCATGTTTGGATAATTGGGGTAACTATTATGTTTTTATCAATAGCTACTGCTTTTTTAGGCTATGTTTTGCCTTGAGGTCAAATATCATTTTGGGGTGCTACGGTTATTACAAATTTATTATCGGCTATTCCTTATTTGGGTGAGATATTAGTTGAATGGATTTGAGGTGGATTTTCAATTAGTAATGCTACGTTAAATCGGTTTTTTTCGTTGCATTTTATTTTACCTTTAGTTATTTTTTTGTTAGTTGTTATACATATTTTTTCATTGCATTTAACTGGTTCATCAAATCCAATGGGTTATAATAGAAATGTCTATAAAATTTATTTTCATCCTTATTTTACTATTAAAGATATATTAATATTTGTTTTAATTTTATTGTTTTTTATATTTTTAATTTGTCAATTTCCTTACTATTTAGGAGATCCTGATAATTTTAAAATTGCCAATAGTATAATGACTCCGGCTCATATTAAACCTGAGTGGTATTTTTTATTTGCTTATTCAATTTTACGGGCTATTCCTAATAAATTGGGAGGGGTTATAGCTTTGTTAATATCAATTTTAATTTTGTATGTTATGCCATTGTATAATAATTGTATTAAATCAAATAAGTTTTATCCATTAAGGCAATTATTATATTGGTTTTTTATTAATAATTTTATTATGTTGACTTGGCTAGGCAGGCAAGTTATTGAATATCCTTTTATTGTATTAAATGAAATTTTTACATTAAGTTATTTTTTATTTTTTTTTTGTTTGCCTTTATCTTATATTTATTGAGATAAAGTTATTAATTTTTAGTTAATGAGCTTGAATAAGTGTATATTTTGAAAATATATTATAGAAATATAATTTTCTATTAACTTAGATTTATAAATACTTCTTTTATTAAATAAATATAAGTTAAGTAAATTAATGTAAGAATTAAGAAGTATGTTCAACATGTTTTTATTAAAATATCATAGCGTATCCGAGGGAGTACTCCTCGGATTCATAAAATTATTAATATATGAAATGTAAGTATAATATAAAATATTATTGAATTTATTGAATAATTAAAAAAGAATATAGTTATAATAAATCTTATGAATACAATTCTTGAGTATTCTGATAGAAAGATTAATACAAAAGGCGGCTGCGACGCTTTATCGTAATTGATTTAACGATCACGATTACGAGCGGACCGGTGCATCCCCGGGGGTACGTGTCAGATGGTAATAATAGACACAAAGTGGCCTGGATGTTACGAAACGGAAATGCACGTCCACGCCGCCGGCTTTTGCTTACATTGCTGTTTAATGCGTAAACGGGGCCATGGTGGCGGCTTCGGTAAAATGGCGGCCCTCGTCTCTTCCGCAACATTCATCCTTATACTCCTTTCTATTCCCTTCTTCCCATTGTCTCTTTCCTCTCGTCCGGTCACCTTTCTCCGTTTAGTTTTTTCATTGCAAATGGGATACAGTTTCTATGGCGTATCGGGAAGGTGCCATTTTTCAATGGATAGAAATTGTGTCATCTGGTGTCTTCGTGAAACTTCCTCGGGAGCACTTTTAACCCTTAATTAGTCACGTCGAATCGTAGTGACACTATAGAGATTCCGTTTTCTTATTATTCCACCATTTTAGTCTGCTAAAATTGCTTCTTCTCTTGGTTAAAAGATATTAATTCAAATTTAAATAGGAAACGAAGATAGTTGTTCCTTAAGAGCCTTGTTTCTCGTGAAACGTCTTATCTATTTAAATCTCTCGGTTCAAACGGAGCCAACGGAATAATTAACCCTTCGATCACTGAAATTTTGCACGTTTGCAAAAATCGCACCCTTCTGTTCAATCAGATCGCAGTTAATGCGTTCAAATGCGAAAATCAGACGTGCAAATTAAGCACACTGCTACAATACTTTGGCGCAAAATGTAAAAGCTAGTGCTCGAAGGGTTGAAGACCGAGACAGATCTGCCAAAAGAAATCTACCGAACCGCAGGAAACCAGAATGAAGCCTGAGTGATTTCATATCGTCGACAGATAATTTTCTCCTCTTCCCATTCCGTTTTTATGTATTTCTCTTAATGTTATTCCTGTTATTCGTTGGTTACAGTACCAGGCGAGGCTCAGGCTTCCGGACACGTTCTCGCACTCCCAGAAGATGCAGTGCGTGGATCATATCATCGAGGTCCTCGACCTCGCGGCCTGCCAAGATACCAGTGAGTATAGATCGAACGCGATCGATGGATCGTGCCAAGCTAACGCGTAGCGGGGCCAGTACGTGGCGGCCTGCTTTTCAACACCGCGGTGTCTCGTTTTATGGGGATTTTCTGCCTTTTATTTTTCCACTTGTGTATTTTTTCCCCCTTTTCCCCATTATTTTTATATTATTTTTCTGCCCTTGTTCCCCATTTTAAAAAATTTCTTTCTCTGCCCCGTTTATTCTTTTTTTTGCCCTTTTTCCCATTATTCTTTTCTTTATTTGTTCTATGTGATAAACGAAAGGGCTTTTTATAGTGGACCGTGTTTGAAATTTATTTCATGTCAGAGGATATCCTGATAATTTTTATTTTGTTATTTCACAAGAACTTATTTGGTTGATAAATTTTATTCGCTATTGTGAAAATTTGCAGCAACGAAGTCGGGGACAGTGTGTGACGAAGGAAGCAAGTTCAATTTAAGAAATTTGTTAGTACGTGGTTTATGCAATTTTTATGTAGAATATTTATTATAATGGCTGTTATTCAGTGGTCAGATTTAGTCACACGTATATAGACGTCGGACCAATCGAGATTTTAGTGCTATAATTATGAGCATCGTAAATGTTCAAGTTACAGTTCCAGTGTATATTTAAATTACTGGATTAAAACTGCCCGCTGCTGCACCGTTGCAATTTTCTGCAACTAAATGTGTGATTTCACAACGAATATACACACGCATTCCCCAATTTCTGCCAAGCTTCAACATTTATATAACGAAAGGAGAATTAATAATGCGGTTGCCGCGTGCGGCATATTTAATTACGTAACGTTACCGCACGCAATAATATATCGACATTTAAATAACGAATGAGATTTACAAACGAGAATAATTCAATTACAGATTTGCATATCCTGTCGTTTGTAATTCGTAACGTTCCCTGGCTTTTCAGATGTTTCAGAGAACTTCCCCGTTTAACTTTTGCAATTTTTACATTTTCAAAGTTAGACACGAAAAGATACTAAAAAGTTTCTTACTCTAGTATTTATCCGTTGAAAAACGTTCCTTCCACTGTCGTTAAATCATTCCAGTTACCTTAAATGTAGCGTATATCAAAAGTTCATAGACTCGGGTTGCAAAAACCTTCAATTTACATAATTTGATATTTTCCTTTTTAATTGAAACAATTTTTATTACACTCACACACATATCACACTTTCCTTTTTATTATCTTCCATTCCATTGCAATAAATTATTAAACTAAAAATCCAGGCTTGAAAATTTCTTAAAATTAGACAAAAAATAAATAAATAAAATTTCTAAACTCAGAGTCAGAGAAATTTTGTTACAGACAATATTAATAGTCTAATATTTGAAAATTATTGTCGCAGACAAAATTGCTTGAAATTAGACCCAGAAAATAAATAAACAAAATCACTGTACTCAGAGTCAGAGACTACTCCTCAGGTATATCTCCAAATCGTTGCAGTACAAATCCATACGGCAGAAAATACTGTACCGCCAGGAATTTCTCCAAATTCCCTATCCAGATCCTCGGAAGAAATTCAATCTTCCCCGATCTCCGTTCGATCCAGCTCGAAGATCAAAGATCGTGTCTGTCAGGGGATCGCGAGAACTGGGACGATCGTGCGCGTAAATTCGCTGTAATTTGTTTATAGACGCTGGACGGAGGAGCCCGTTAACGATTTACGACTTCCACCGGTAAGAAACGGGCCACAGAGACGGCGCATCCTCCCCGTCGTCGTACTCGTCGTTGTTGCCGCGATTTTGATTGACGATTTCCGCGATCGTAACTCATTCACCTCTCGCTATAAAACCGGACGAAATCGTTTGTTATCGGTATATACGCCGGATTTCTCTCGATCGTTGCAACGATCCGTATGAAAACGCTTTGAAGTCGCGTTCACGAGGATTTACTCGATTCGTGCCCGGTTTCCATGAAAGTTTCCACCGCTCTTTGGTGAAAATCGATCGTTCGATTTGGTTTCTCGATCGGGGGATAATGAACGGTTTGCGAAATGATCAAAAGTAAAAATTTCGTCTGGTACGTTCGTTGCTTTTTTTTTTCTTTTCTTTAGTTTTGGGGAAATTTGGGATCTCTGAGTGGTTTATTCTAAGTTTCTTATATTCTGAGAAAAATTGGGCTCTTTAGAAGTAATTGAAATTAAACTGCAAGTTTCAGATTTTGGTGTATTTGTTTATTTGGTTTCTGTGAAATTTGGGGATTTTGCAAGTTTGTTATTGTCTGAGAAAAATTGGGATCTTTAGAAGTAATTGAAATTAAACTGCAAGTTTCAGATTTCGGTGTATTTGTTTATTTGGTTTCTGGGAAATTTGTGGATTTTAATGGAAGATGTGTATTAACTGAAATTAGGTTACAAATTTCAGGAAACTAATGGTTTCTATTTTAATGTAATTTCTCGTATGATTTTTTTGGCTCGTAAAGTGAGTTGCAGAATAAACGAACGGCGCATAGTTTTACTTACGGAGAGGAAGGAAAAATGCAATTTAAATATTTCATCAGCTCTTGGAAATCTGTGCAAACGGTGTGACACGAGTCAAATATTTATCGATTTTCTATTTAAATAGCTACCATGTTTCATGGAAATCAGTGTGTGCATAATTCCCGTGTAAATGGCCGGTTGAAAATCAGTGTGTGCATAATTCCCGTGTAAATGGCCGGTTGAAACACAGAAATCAACGCAACATAGTGGTTAAATGTTTCTCAAGAGGGAAACTCGAAATTATGAAAACCTAAAAAAAAAATCAATTTTTACCACTCCATTTAAAGTAAGAGAATAATATACAATACGTTCAATTTAACACATTTCAAAAATTCTTCGTCCCACTCAGCCATAAAAATTTTTTAGCCCTTTAACAATTCTTCCTCGTCGATAAAAGAAGAAGAAGCAATTCAAACTGAAAATCCTTCTTTCGTACCCTCGCAAAATTGTTTCCATCACTTTTCCGCATGATCGAAAAATTCAAACCGTACTTCGAACATAGAAAAACACGAAACATTTCCCAGTGGAAAAGGAATCAATCTCTCGTGTTGCAAAAAACGAACGCGAAAATACGAGGAACGGTGTTTTCCCCCGTTCCACATTACCGGATAAATGAAACAAAACAGAAAAAAAAAAAGGAAAGAACGGAAGGTTGCAGAAAAGCGATCTCGAATCACTATAACGAGAACAGCGTTTTTATCCGACACGCGCATTGTTTTGTATAACGATGCAAAAAAAAAAAAAGAAGCATTTTCCTCCCTCCATCTCTCTCATCTGCTTTCTTTTCTCTCTCTGTTATTTATTTCTCCATTTTTAGACGCGTCGTTTGACCGACGCGTATCGTCATTGATGAACCACCGATCAATTTTTCCCCGTTTAATCGGACCCCGACCGATCAATTCCGGGCTGAACTTTTTCGAACACAGGAAATGCCACAGGTTTGTCGCGTCCCGTAATCCAATTTCGAATCGTTTGATCGGCAACGCGACCAGACGGATGAAACAATTTTATTTTTTTCTCCCTCCTCCACCCTGCTATCTCCAAAAGAGGTGTGGAACGAGAATTTTCATTGATTCCGTTCTGCACGTTAATCCAGAAAACTCGCGTTCATATCGAATTTCGATGGCACTCGCGATGAAAACAGCCGCGATAACGGAAACGTTATTAAGAACCTGGAGAAATTCGATTGTTCCGTGATAAAATCGTGGAACCAACGAATCTGTGTAGTTTGGTATTTTGTCAATTTTCGGGGTGATACGTTGAATTAGCGTTGATTTGGCTTGTGTTCTGATTTTTCGGGGGATTTTTATGGAATTTGTTGCTGTTACTTTCTATGGACATTTTTGTGGCTGGTGTGTTGAATGTAGCGTGAATAAGATTTGAGGAATGTGTAGTAAAATGCACTGGACGAAGTAATTATAATGGAGAAAAAGAGAAGAAGATCGGGTTAGCTATCATTATGCTCTGCGAGCTCTTTCTTTTGAATTTTAAGTAAACAATTGATTTTTAAGAAACATTCAGGTAACAAAAATGACCATTAAAAGAATTATTTGTATTTGAGACACTCGTATTGCAAACCCTGTTTCAAAGTCTTTGTTAAAATTTGCACAGAAAAAGACACTGAAAATTCTCAACTTTTCTATCGTACCAATTTTCGTCCCAAAAATTGCACAGAAAATTTCGAAATTTCGAACGCCTTTAAGGTTCTCCAAATCGTGCGCACAACGTCCTCTGCATCGATATCTCTCTGAACGGTACTTATCAGTCGATTAAATCGAGACACCCAGTGCAGAGCAGGGCGAAGCTTTTAAAATATCGCGCACCTTGCATCCCAATTATTTCGAGCGGCGTATTTTTAACCGGCCTGCTCGTCATCGTATCTTTTGCGCGCGAATTAAGGTATCCACCTCCGTCGCCGGATGATCGCGGCTACGTCCGCCAATTAGCGTTAATTAATTGCGAACGAGAGATAATGGCAGGCTAAAGATTCGCCTTCATATACAGGGTGTCCCCGGTATTATCCTCCGGCGTTTTTCTCCTCGATGCTAAATGTAAGAAGAAACTAGACAGAAATTTTACGTAGTTTGGATCATTTCTTTTTTTAATCGACAGTAGAGAAATTTGATACTTTTGCCCAGTTCCAGTGTTAGAAAAGTGTGAGAATTATTGAGTATTCGTTTTTAATTTTTCGATAAATTTATCGTTCACGAGGAAACAAGGTGAACACCCTGTATATGGCTACCTGTGCAACTGCAGTTTCTTTCATCCTCTTTTTCTTTCCCTCCGCTTTGCAGTTATCGGGGATTACACGAAACGAGGACTGTCCGGCGGTGAGAAGAAGAGGACAAGCATAGCCTGCGAGCTGCTCACCAATCCGTCGCTGATGTTGCTCGACGTAAGCTCTTTAGTATTATTGATTATGGCGTCAACCGGCGATATCGCTGTCTTGGCGCAGTTTTCAAATTTTCTGCCAATTTTTCCTCGAGATAAATTACAGTCCCGAAGGCAGAAATACTGATATACAGTAGACACACTCGATCATGAGTGTGTTTTAACGTTGAATCAATTTTAATTTTTGATTTGCGAATCTGAAGAGTTTTCCTAATACTTGAGATTTTCAAAAATCTCAATTCTAAATTCGAATGAAATTTAAAAATCAACGTTTCAATATTTGATTTAAAAATCAAAGCTTCCATATTGAATTTAAAAATCAAAGCTTCGATGTTAAATTTTAAACTCGAAGTAAATTCGAAAAGAATATCTGCGCCAAGGGAATAAAAATTCTCCAAATTCTTACTCCTGAAGAAAGTATAGAAAAAAGGAAGGGAAAGGAGATTAACGAGGAGGATGTTGTTCAGGAACCAACGAGCGGGCTGGACTCGCATTCGGCACAAGCGCTGATTTCACGACTGAAGAAATACGCGGAACAAGAGGGCAAGAGCATCGTGGTGACAGTGCACCAGCCCAGTTCCAGGATGTTCCACAGTTTCAGCAAGATCCTGCTGTTGAGTCACGGCCAAGTGGCGTATTATGGACCCACAGCGAACATCGGCAGGTTTTTCTCCACGATAGGACTTACGCTGCTGCCGCACTATAACCCCGCTGATTTTATACGTGAGTAACGAAACTGAACGCCACTCTGAACTGCCTTTTTAGAAATAGCAAAATCTTTGATATATTTCAATTCACCGGACTATCTTGGGCAAATTATGCTCGTTTGCAAATAACTTGAACACTTTCAGCGCGGATACTTTGCAGTGCTCTACCTGAGACCTGGCAATTTTTTTTATCACATTTTCATTACTTATTTGTCCTTAGAAATGATACGGAAGACGTTTTATGATGGAAGATATTTTTGAATTTTATTTCTTCACTTTCTGTTTCTTATCACTCAGCTTGTGATCTTATTATATCAACCATGCTGAGAGTGTTGGCAAAAATATCCATTTTTTTCACGAATCTTCGTAACCAATTACTAATCTTGTAATTAAAAGTTATATCGATCATCGTTCAAAACTACTATACAGAATTGACTGGAAACTTTTGCTAACAAGAAAGAGTATTCAAAATTAGCACAAGTAGAAATGGGTAAAAATTGAAATATATACAAATCAAGTATCCCACAATTTCCCAAAAACACGAAACGAACGTTCCAATCCTCTTCCCTTCTCTCGTCTAGAAAATAAAAAAAAAAAGAGAATCCCCTCGCTAAAACACAGCCCTATTTTATTGTAAACGAACTTCCTCTTAAAACAGTTCCACTGAGTGGTTGGCGTGTGCACGCGCGAAAATTCCCTTCCGTTCCATCGAAAGCGTTGCAATTACTCCAACTACTTTAACTCGCCAATAACAGTTACGGGAGGGTTTCACGGTTCCCTTTCGGATTGTTCCAGTGGAGCAAATAAAGGGGCCAGATGAGGTTCGGGAGCGTATCGTGGCCGCGGCGAGGAACGCGAGACAGGGACCTGACTGCCCGCCGGAACTTCGTCCGGAGTATAATCCCAGCCAGCATCCGCTCTGCGACCATCTGATCCATTATCACGAGCACCACATCAGCCACAACGGTATTGCATAGTGCTCTCGACCGGTCTGCACGCCTAGGGACTATCGCGGATACATCGAGCTGGAATAGTTGCGGTTCCGGTTCAGCCGCTTAAAACTCGGGGATCGGCCTCGTGAACGACACACACGTATATACATACACGTACACACACGCGAGCGCGTATATACAGGGTGTTTGTGGGTCAACGTGTATACGAGACGATTTTTGGTATTGGAGATCGGGTTCGGAGAGATGAATTATGTGGAGAGATTCCGTGGGTTTGGTGAAGGAGAATTTTTTGATTTTCGGGATCTTTGGGATCTTCTGATCAACTGGTTTGGGAGAGATGGTGAATTGTCTGAAGGATTTTCGTTGGTTCGATGAAAGAGAATTTTTTGGGGAAATTATGGTTTCGTATAGTGATTGTTGTTGGGAATTTCATTTTTTAGAATTTTCTGGGATTTTTCGATTAATTGGTTTTGGGATCGATGATAAATTATGTAAAGGATTGTCATTGGTTCGATGAAAGAGAATTTTTTCGGGAAATTATGGTTTCGTATAGTGATTGTTGTTGGGAATTTAATTTTTTAGAATTTTCTGGCATTTTTCGATTAATTGGTTTTGGGATCGATGATAAATTATGTAAAGGATTGTCGTTGGTTCTTTGGAAGTGACGTGGTGCAAATGATTATTCGGTAAAGTGGGTAACAAAAATATATTTATTTAAACGTAATGCTTAAACTAATTTCAAATGTAAACTATATGATGCGCGTGCAGAGAAGCTCTACCACAAAAGGCCTCGTGCCTTTTTCGGGGCTCCCTTAAGTAGCCCCTTTTCCCTGGGAAAGTCCCAGAAAGCGTGGAGGCGCGGGCAATACTCTTGTCCTCGAGGACGAAGAAACTCGGAGATGTTTAGAAAAACATATCTCGATTCTTCGCCTCGAGGGCCAAGAGTCGCCAGGCCTAAGTGCGTGGCCTCCCCGTGGCGGTCGCCACAGTTCGATGAAAGAGAATTTTTTGGAGGAAATTATGATTGTTGTTGGGAATTTAATTTTTTAGAATTTTCTGGGATTTTTCGATTAATTGGTTTGGGATCGATGAAGAATTATCGGAAAAATTTCCGTGGGTTCAATGAAGGAATATTTTTCGGAGAAATTATGGTTTCGTATAGTGATTGTTGTTGGGAATTTCATTTTTTAGAATTTTCTGGGATTTTTCGATTAATTGGTTTGGGATCGATGAAGAATTATCGGAAAAATTTCCGTGGGTTCAATGAAGGAATATTTTTCGGAGAAATTATGGTTTCGTATAGTGATTGTTGTTGGGAATTTCATTTTTTAGAATTTTCTGGGATTTTCTGATCAAATGGTTTCAGATCGAAGATGAATTATCTGAAGGATGTTTACGGGTTTGAGGAAGAAGAATTTTTTGAGGAAAACAATGATTTTGTATAGTGGAAGTTGATTGTAACGAATGTTATTCGAGATTTCATCTTTTTATACAGAATACTTTTTTGTTTTATCGATTCAGCGGTTTCGTTTTCAATATTGGAGGGATGTTAGTCAATGGTAAAATGTGAACGAATTAGAGATTGTACTTTTTATTGACATGGTTTTTCATTGGGAATATCAATTCGAAAAATAAGTCTGTTACAAACTTTTCTGTTTTATTAGTAAAGTACAAATCAATTATAAATATCAATCCAAAGTAGAACACAATTGCGTTCAATTAAATTAAGTCTAAAAATTGAATTTTAACAAGAACAAATACCAACAGAATAAACATTAACGCTTTCAATCTCGTCCTTGTCAATATTCACACAACACTGAATCGCAGTTTCAAAATTCCCCACCGAAAGAACTTCAACAAATAAAAAATACATTTGAAAAATTGAACAAAAGTATCAATACACAAAATCCTACAACTGACCTCGTTACAACGTTACATTCTCCTCAAAAGAATCCTCCAAATTCTCACAGAAAGTAGTGACAGGCTCGTGGCCTAAAATCGTCCAAAAGAAAAAGTAAACAAATGGAGAAATAATTCGCCAGGCCTGTTCGTGACATAACGTGTTCGTTCGCCGCGAAATAAACACGTGTTCCCTAAGCTCGAGTCTCGTCGTGGTTCGCAATGAATGCGAATCATTGTAGTCTGTAATCAGCGAATAGCGCGTTCCTCGAGATACGTGATATCTCGCTCGGCCGAATAGTTCCTCCGGCGTCGATTGATTAACGGTTTATAAATGGACGCGCGAGCAATAACACGGGGATTTTTTTAGCTAGCCAAGAAGTGTGTCGGGCCGAGGGGGATGATTCTTTCGTTCCTCCCGTCGCGAGCAAGCAAAGGTCGAATGTTAGAGAATCGAGAAACTGTTCGATAGGAATGGTCGTTGAATATTTGCTATCCTTGTATTTCACACGATTCGATGTACTAGATGAAAATTTTTGCATTTTTTGCGAAGTACATTCAACCCTAATTTCTGTGGAATTTAAGTTCACCATTTTGGTTCACCGTTGTAAATCAAACCTAGAAGCTTGTGACTTTTATTTTGACTATAATTGAGATGATTTAGGAATACTTTTCATTCATGAAAGTTCATATTTCCAAGGTTTAATTTTGGTTTTGAAAATTTTTGCAATTTTTGCTAAACACATTCAACCCTAATTTCTGTGGAATTTAAGTTCACCATTTTGGTACCGTTGTAATTCAAACCTAGAAGCTTGTGACTTTTATTTTGAATATAATTGAGGTAATTCATGAACACTTTTCATTTATAAAAATTCACATATCCATGGTTCTGTTTTATTTGAATACAATTAAAACTGAAAGTAGAAGGAAATTTTTTGTGGTACCATTTCACTTTTCATTCATAAAAGTTCACATTTCCATGGTTCTGTTTTATTTGAATACAATTAAAACTGAAAGTAGAAGGAAATTTTTTGTGGTACCATTTTTGCATATAAATTGAGGGTAGAATGCAATCTTCTATTCTTCTTTCCCCTTTAACACGATCTTTGTATGAATTGAAAAAACGAGCACGGTAGTTTTTCCTTTTATTTCTCTTGCGATGTGACGTTTCGAGCTGGTAAACGTTGAGGGAAGGAAGATACGTTCGAAGCTTGTCTAGCCCTTTCATTGTGTCGATGATTTACAGTGAAGGAAGACGAAGGTCGTACGCTGTGGTTGGACACACAAAGCCATGCCAGCAGCAGTGCCAGTTCTGCGGACGACGACTACGCCTGGCAGTGGCCCACCAGTTTCTGGTCGCAATTCAAAGTGAGTACCATTTTGCAGACGTTTCCAGTGGTTGGACGTTAAGACACGTGGAAATTCGATTCTTTATCTCGTCAAATAAGATGTAACAAACTTTCGAACAGAGCTTTCAGAGAGAAAAGAAGCATTCTTTCATCTTCAATTTAACCCTTTAATCCCAGAATCTTTGTTGCAGTCAGAAAGAAGAAAAATACTTCAAAATAGAAATATTTATTTATTTATTTACGAAAGCAAATGCATTACACAGTGTGCAACAAAAGTTTCCTTGCTCCGAGTTTAATAATTTATTATGATGGAATGGTAGACAGTAGGAAAGAAGTTATCTTGGAAACTTGCGTTGCATACAAAAGACGAAACGAGGAAAGTAGGAGGAAACAGTAGTAAAGCTGAATATACTTAAGAATTTCTGATACCGACACGAATAAATTGCAATACAGAGGTAACATTTCTTGAAGAATTTCAATCACGTTGTAGAGGCTAGCTTTTTTCCTTCTTCTTTTATCAGGAAAAACGCGAAAATTGCACGGTTGATTTCGCGAGGGAACGGCGGCGGAGGTAGTAGTATGTAGTAGTTCACGCTTCAGAAGGCCGAAGAAGCGTGTATCGTTAAGGAACGAATTGAACCGGACTCGGTTCCGTTATTTCTCCAGAAGAAGTGACGTCAGTTTAGCAATTGAAAACAGAATCGTCACGAGATCGTCCCGCGTGATGCTCCGGTTCTCGTTAACTTTCTGATTTCACTTCCCCTGCCGCTGTTGCATACGACGACCCGGCTTGAATATTTCCCCTGCAGCCGCGTAACCTCTGCATTCTGTCTCGCCAGACGTGTGTGTGCACCGTACGAGAATATTCAGAGGGAAGAACTACGATGGAAAAAGTGTGCTTTCGAAGGAGGAATAAATTGTGATATTTTTAGCTATTGGAGAATTTGGTGTTGTATAGCACTTTCGTAGGGCTCTTTTTGTATTTTCAAAGTGAGGCTGTTAAGGAAATCTGGATACTCGGTGTATTTGGATACTCGAGTAGCAGTGGAATTCGGATTTCAACTTTGAATAGTGGAACTATTCGAATATTTGAGATTTACGAAATATTCGGCGTAATCCGAAATTTAAACACTTTGAGTATTCGAATTTATAAATTTTCCGAATTAGCAGAGTAAGGAATTCATATTCGAATGATTCCGAATCAAAAAATTTGTGTTCGAAATTATTCAAATTGGTCGAATCTTTCGAATAAAGAATGCATATTCCAAATTATCCGAATAGAGTATTCATATTCCAAATTCTCCGAATTATTAAAATTATATTATTCGAATTATCCAAATGAAAAATTTGTATCCGAAATCATCCGAATTAGTCGAATTTTCCGGATAAAGACTTCATATTCGAAGTGATCCGAGTGAAAAATTCGTGTTCTAAATTATTCAAATTGGTCAAATTATCAAAATAAAGAATTCACATTCGAAATCATCCGAATGGAGAATTCGTATCGCAACACGAGCTTGTAAAACGACCTGATATCTAAATGGAAAATATCCCCACGTTCACAACGAACAACGATAAATCACAGGGAATAATGTTAAAAAGACGAAAAACCAAGGATTTCCATGTGTGCAGATGTAAAAAAAAATAGCCGGTGTTAGCAGCCACATTCCATAGCGTAAACGACCATCGTGGAAATTATGTAGGGCAACGAGACGGCGTTGATTTCCTCGGAAACAACGCGTGCTCGCCTCGAATTGGCCGTAAGACACGCGTCGCGAGTGGAGAGACGCTTGAAGGAGAGATCAAAAAGTTCGATTGCATTGCGCGCTTAATAGAGCATGCAACAAGTAATATGAAAATTTAGATGAGTGGTCTGGTATGCGAGTCGGCTGAGATAATAGGGGAGGGAAAATGGAAATGACATCAGGATTCAAGTTTAACGCGAGCATTAAATTCGTATCGCCAAGTCCTCGGCGACGCTTATCTATCTTGCTGGCTCTAAACGCGTTCCAGATAACATTCAAGGTGTTCCATGGTATTTCTTCCAATCTTATTCCTCGCGGCTTATCGCGCCTCCGGCATTTTCTTCCTCCCCAGAAGACGTTTCTGGGGTAATTCTTCCTTGCTGGAGCAAAACTTTCCCCGCGAGAACATCAGCTGCTGCGAGGTGAAGTAATTTTCTCGTGTCAAACGTTAAATGGATTTATTTTCAATTTTTTTCGTGTCTTTCGAATATCTTACGATAAGGGGATGCACGTTGTGGATACGAAGTTTGCAAACGGAATAAGGTTCAAATTTGCACTTTTTTTTAGATTGTAAAGTAAACAGAGTAGTTTTGACGGAATTTTTCACGAGTAACACGATTTGTTAATTGATCATTTTTTAAAATTTGTTTGTCAAATCAGATTAATTCGCGTGTGAATTTTAAAGGAACCAGGTTTAAACTTGTACTTTTTTTAATTTTAACGAAATTTTTTGATAGATTAACGGGATTTGGATGTAGGGTGTATGCAAGGAATGAATAACAACAGATTTCTCGGTAATTGTTCACTTTATTTGTCAAATTTCATTAATGTTACATTTCTCTTTACAACTATTCCTTAATTATGCACAGAACCTACCAGAAAGCAGCAGAAAATAATTTTTCTTTCAACCTTAGTACTTAACTCGAACCCTTTCAACCCTAGTATACACGTAAACGATAATATGCTATTAATTCAACATCGAATATGGCAAATCTCAGTTCGTTCAATCATCCTCATTCACTCGTACCAAAATTATCCTTAAAATTCAAGATATCGACGAACTTTACATTTGCACCCCTCACACTTAAAGTAACAACACAAATGAAATTTCTCAGTTTCACTCGTCCGAACAGTCAATAGACTTCACTCGTTAAAACTGAAACAAAAATGTGAAAAAAAGCGTGTTCCAGGGAATTCTTTCGTTCCAAGCCTCGCCACAGGTGAGACGCGTTACGAAAAAGGGTTGAACTCTCGCCGGTGCGTTGAATCGCGAGCTGAAACGCGGCTAGGCGAAGAATAGCTCTTCTGCTCGGGTAAAAGTGATGCAAGTTTCGAGATGCGTTCGCACAAAGCTTGCCAACAACAGCGTGCACCGGTCGCGGTAATTATCCGGATATGGCAAATCACGTAAATGCGACCTGGTTCACCTTTCTGCGCGCCTCTCGATCCTCTTTCGCGACGCTCCTCTCGTCTCTTTCATCTTCGCGCGGTTTTCCGGACAGAGACACCCTGTAGATCGGTTCGAGGAGTACTGGGTTTCGTCAGGATCGTACTTCTCGTCGTTCTGATTGAAAAGGTGCAATTTACAGTCCGATGGAAGGCGTTTTCAGGGTACTTTGGCTGCTGGTAAATGTTCTGTAATGAAGAATTTCGTGGTTTACAGTAAATTTTTGTAAAATTCTGCTGTAGAATTTGAAAAGTCTATCATTTGAAATCTAATATTATTAGAATATTATATTGAAAAATCATTTTTCTATAATTTGCAAGATGAAAATTTGATAGAATTTCCTTGTATCTTTCTGTCGATGAATAATTTATCGATAATATATAATAGTACTTGTTCGTAGGATTCTTTTAAATAACCCCGTCACAGAATTCCATTTCTCGATAACAATGTTAAATTCCAATTTCATAAAATTGTACAATACAACACCTTCCAAAAAAGAATTCATAAAGAATTCAAAATCACGTTTCTGCAGAATTTATAGTCCGACTGTACATCGACAAATGAATCAGCGATAAGAAGGATGAACAAGATTAAAATTTGCATAAGATTTCTCGTGTGATTGTTCCGGCGCAGCGTTCGGATCGATCGATCGATCCGATCCAGTGACGGTTAATTGAGTAATTAACGATATCGAGCCGGTACTCGTTACACGGTTAAACGACTCTTGTGCACATAGTTGTAATTTAAAGAGGCCTTCGAAACCAGCATTGTGAAACTTTGCGTTCTATTTCCTCACGGCCGTTGATATAATTGAGCTGCACCAAAGAGGTGTAGCGAGCAACCTTGCATTGTGACATTGTCGCTGCACGGGGGCAGCGGTTTCTGTCGCGTATACGTGCACCGCGATTAATAACCGGCTGTGTACATCACCGGCGATCGTCTGTGACTCTTTGATGAAGTTTTTAGAATGGTAGCTTGCGTCAGGAACAATCAGCATTCATCTGTGGTTGTTGCACAGTCTTGGAATTGGAGAAACTGATCAGATTTCTGGGAAATTGATCCTATCGAAGGAAAATTGGAGGATTTTAACATGGGATTCGAGTTGAAGGGATATTCGAAAATTTTGGATATTTCGGTATGAGAAAAATTGTAGAGTTTTAGATATTTCGGTAGAAGGAAAATTGGAGGATTTTGGGGATTTAAATGCGAGGGAATTTGTTAAATTTGGAGATTTGAAAGAATATTTGAAAATTTTTGGTATTTCGGTGTGAGAAATATTTCTGAATTTCAGATGTTCGAGTAGAAGGAAAATTAGAGGACTTCTGGGGATTCTAATATGAGGGGAATGGTTAAATTTGAAGATTACTGAATTTTAGGGATTCTAGTATGAAGGACATTGTTGAATTTGCAGATTACAGAATTTTAAGGATTGTAATACGAGGGAAATTGTTAAATTTCGAGATCACAGAATTGTAGGTGCTCGAATATGAAACAGAATTATGAAATTTTTGGTATTTTTGGTAACAGAAGCAAAACGACAAAATTTCTGACATTTCAGCATTGAAGAAATTGCCAAATTTCCACTGTAAATCAAATTACAGTGTTCCAAATCTTCCAATATAGAGAAAATCTCCAGTCTCCAATGCAAAGCAAATTACAGAGCTCCAGATATTCCAATTAGACCCTCACGATAACTTCCCAAATCTTCCACAATCCCCACTCGTAAAAAAAACTAAATTTCCCAACGTTGAAAGCTCCAAATCTTCCCCCCAAAATTTCTCCGCATCTCTCTTCATGTTTCCACGAAAAAAGCAAAAATCTACAATTCGTATGCAAAAAGTTTACTTTCGCGATCTGCACACGCTAAATTTCCCAGCTGTTTGCAAGCTTCAGTCTCCCGAAAATTTCTCTGAAAGCTCTCGTCACATTTCCACAAAAAAAAAAAAACAAAGAATCTACAATTCTACCTTTAAAAAGTTTCCTCTTTTCGCGACGTGCACACGATTCAACGTCGGGTTCGCCCGTTGGTGTTTCAGGTATTATCAGAAAGAAACTTTCAAGAGGCACGGCCACGAATGCTGTCTCGTCTGAATTGGCTGCAAACGATAGCCCTCGGCTTGCTCGCTGGACTGCTGTGGCTAAGGCTTCCCAGAACCGAAGCGGCACTTCACGACATCCAAGGCTGGATGTTCTTCAGCACCACGTACTGGATGCTGTTCGCGCACTTTAGTGCACTCTCCAGCTGTAAGTCGACTCTTCTTTCCATGTGCATTCGCGTATCAGACTTTGTAACACGGGTAAACTAGATTCTCGTTGCACACACGGTGCTTAAAAAAGAAATTTTCACACTTGCACCGTCTGCCATAAGTATTTGCTCGTCCGTATTTTTTTCTTTTTGCAAAATAAATTAGATCCTTGACTTCCTTGCTAATTGAGTCTGTGATAAGTATTACATTTGCTCGTCTATCTTTTTTTTTTTTATTAGAATTATTAATCTAATTTTTCACTCACGTTTTAATTACATAAAGGTTCACATTTGGAAAATCGCTAATGGTGCAGTTTGACTCGGTTGGTAATAAATTCTTCATTTCTTTGCCGATTTAATTTATTCGTTGAAATAGAAAATATTGTGAACAGGTAGGACACGTAGAGATTTTTTCGAAACACCGCGTGTATAGAAGTTTATCTTAATTGAATGCAACGATGAATATTCCTGAAGCGATTAAACAAATTTTACGTTCACCTGTTATTCATGAAAAAGCCGTTTCCGATTAGTTCCTCGTTTTTGCTACGTAGCCTATGTAACTATAAGCGCTACTTACTCAGGCATGTAATAAATTGCATCGATATTCGTGTAATTACCATTGGAGCAAATTGATATCGAGGAAGTTGGACGAAAGATCGAACCGACGTGGAGTAATCTTCGGTTGTTTGAAAATTGAAGAAAAAACAAAGTAGCGAGAAAGTTTCGCAACCTTTGACGAAGTAACTGGAACAAAAGTAGACGATACTACAGAAAGTTCGTTCTGCAATTAACGGAACTCAAACATCGAAACATCTAGACCGATCAACTAACTTACCTACCCTTGGTAAATAAACTACCACCTCGTCAACGTTCCTCGAGAATCTCAATTTCCGACAAATCTTGTCAAACAACCGTGCAATCAGCGTACCTGCGAACCCTCCTCAAGATTAAAGGGGAGACGTAGCGAAGTTGAACGATAAAAATTCTCTAAAATATTCCCCTCGCTTCTATCGATGAAAAAATAAAACCTTCAGTCGCGAAGAAAAATTCTCCAAATATTTCCCTCACTTTTCTTCTTTTATCACCTGTCGATAAAAATGGAACTTTCAGCGTTAGGAAGTTTCACGTGAAACATTCTCGCGTTATTTTTTCAACGGTTACTTCTTCCTTTATTTTGTCCGATTTTTTGTTCAAGAAGTTTGATTAAAAAGAAAATAGAAAAAATCGCAGAGACGTGAGACGAAAAATGTTCGGAGGTGGTGGTGGTGGCTGGAACCGATTGCGCAACACACGCGGAGAGCCAGAATACGAGGTAGATTGGTTAATTGAGCGACGACGACGTGACGCTCTAAATCGGCCATTCAGCCGAAGCTGGTTTTTTTTTATTGCAAAGATTTGCAAAGGACCAGAGGAACGGTCAATCAAGAACGTTAGTATGTAGGTCGCGCCGTGACCCACTTACCGTCCAGCACGGTAATTGAGGGCCCTTTTGTCAACACTCGCGTAAAACGACCGTGACGAATTTCAGACGGGGAATGAGACTGTGTAAAAGGATGCTGGCCCACGTCAGAGGGCTGCTTAGAAGTTTGCTCGTGATGGAAATTCTTTCTCTTCTGTTCGATCGACGAAAAGGTTCTTCTGCTTCTTGTGGAAGAAGATTCGATTAGACAGAGGTACAGAGGATGGTTGTGGAAGTAGTGATTAGTATAGTTGATTGGTCGTTATTGAAGCAGACAGGAAATTGATTTGGAATTTAGTTGGTTTTCCGTCTTTTTCTGAGCTCGATGACTTAGGTGAAGAAGAGATCTTGTAAAGTAGGCGAGAAGAAGATCGTCCAGCAAAAATAAAGGAGGCAAGACGTTGAAAAGATTGTACGATAAGAAAGATTGCTACAGTTCATTTTCTATTTTCTTTGTGACCTCATTTCTTAGCAATTTTTGGCGAATTTTTTGAGGTTCAAAAGAATGTAACTGGGAGAAATTCAGTATCCAATAACGAAGAGAAATGAAAGAATTTATGCATCGAAAATATCGATTACAAAGAGAAGAAGATTGAAAATTGTGAAAAAGTGGTAGAATCAGGCAAAAACATTTCTGCCACCGGACATCCAGCATCTTCTAATTTCAAGAGCCTTCGGTAACAAAATCTGTTTGATCTCGAAACAGTCTAATCTCTCCTAAAATTACCAGAGCTAATCCCCAACAATTCACACTACAGACTTGCACCTTTTTTTCTCAGCGGGCATAACGCAGCAAAGTGCTCCATCGAGCAAGCGGAGTGAGCAGAAACGGACGTATTGTCAGACTGGCGGGATAAAGGTGACAAATCGCCGGGAACAAAGGGCAGTAAACGATAAAACGGAAAAGTTAATAGTCACGAACCTATTTTAGGAGTCGCATAACTTAGCCATAGACCCAAGTCGCATGGCTAGTCGCGCGCGTTTTACAGTCGTCGTCCCTTATCCCCTGCAGAAAGTGAAATGGCCTGGCATGAGACGCTAAAAGCGAGCTCGAGAAAGGGACACGCCGGTCCCTGTCGAGTTGTAAAACCGATTTTAGCATCCTCTTTGATTCCCTCTCCCTTCCAATCCCTTCCAAACGTTTCTTCCTAACATCCCCTTTCTCGTTCCCTCTTCTTCTTCTTCTTCTTCTTCTTCTTCTCGTTGTTCTTTGCTTCGTAGTGTCGTCGTGTGCCTTCTCTTCTTCTTCTTCTTCTTCTTCTTCTTCTTCTCGTTGTTCTTTGCTTCGTAGTGTCGTCGTGTGCCTCTTACCGAAAGGTCGAAGCTCTGTTTTCCCAGGGATTTTCGACAGATGAGTTTATTCGACGGTGGAGGAAGGGACCCTCTTCGTTTTCTTCGTCGATGTGACGCGAATGAATGGCGTCCTGAATTGGATTCCGACGGGGTTGGTACACTTTTGGCGGAATATTCAAATGTTCCATCGTTCTCGTGGATTCTTTTGGAAATATTGCTGTCATATTTTTAGATTAATTTTCTTCCCTTTTGTTTTAGTGCTCCAGGGAGATGTTGAGGTAACTTTGCAATTTTTTCTGAGGACTGTTTGGAGTTACAGTGATTTGCTATCGTTCTTCTAAATGTCTTTGGAAATTCTAATATTTTTGAATTCGTCTTCCTGTTTTAGGGAGACACCGAGGTGTCTCTTCGAATCTCTCTTGTATTCTTCGTCGATATTCCCGAATTCAAAGTCAAATTCACCCTTCCAGCAATTTCCACTTCATCGAGTAATTATCTTCCAAGAAACAGCGACGAAACTGTCAAAGTCTCTCACCAGCTTCTCAACAGTTGTTGCCAAGGAACAAATTACCGTCACTCAAACTTCACCGTGTAATCCCTAATTTCCGCGAGTTATCGGCGAAACTAATGGAAATAAAAATTTCTGTTACAGTTCCTCCAGAACGCGAGGTTATCAACAAGGAGCGGCTGTCAGGATCGTACAGGCTCTCGGCCTATTACCTGGCGAAAATGATCGGCGAGCTGCCGCTTACGATTACACTGCCCGCGGTCTACCATATCATTAGTTACCCGATGTTGGGCTTCCACAGTCCGGCTGTTTTCGTCACCCTGCTGGCGTTCCTCTTACTCAACACCGTCGTCGCCCAGGTACACCTCTTTCTTTTTTTCGTTTGATAACAACCACGTGTGTATGTGTATACATATATCTAGCGCACGCAATATCGCGATTTTTCTCCTCGTTTTCTCCTTTCTCCCTTCGCTCTAGCCAGCCCTCTCGACACTGTCCACCTACGGTCAATACTAAGTCATTGTAGCATGAAAAGCGGCCGCGATTTACTTTCAAAACCACCTACCTATTGACGGAAATGAGTAACTCTCGCAGTTTCACAACGCGACAGCGTGTAATATGGCGATCGAATCGCTCTCCCTCTGTGTACTTAACGAATACAAACAATGAACGGTGGAAAGAAAATTTGAATAACACTTGGACAGCTTTTTTTTTTAAGATTAATCGAAACACTCGCGATTCGAGGCAAATTTTTGCGAATTTAGAAAAATTGAAAAATGAGTTATATATGTGACGTGAAAATGATGAAACGAGATTTTATAGGTGTCCAAAAATTTGTTATGAAAGATACTTTTTTTCAGGATTAATCGAAGCGATTCGAGGCAAATTTTTGCGAATATTTCTTTAGAACTTTCACAGAATCTGAGAATTTAGGGAAAATTGAAAGAATGTTTGAGAAGTAAATGTAACGGTGTGATGTGAAAATAACGAAATGGGATTTTATAGATAGAAAGATACTCTTTTTTTTTAAGATTCTTCGATTTTTCGTCGTTGTTACAAAATTGCAAAGGGTTACGAGGAGTTTCTTATTGTCTATTTTCAGAGTGTGGGATTCTTCGTTGGCGCGTGCTGTTTAGATCTCCAGGTCAGCATAACAGCGTCCGCGCTTTACACGCTCGCGACACAACTTCTCGGTGGTTATTTGGCGACGGCGGTTCCACCGTGGCTCGCGTGGGCCAGGTACGCGAGCATGGTGCACTACGCCTATCAGAACATGCAAATCCTGGAATTCGGCGTCGGCGAGCCAATCACGTGAGTAAAAACTTAGTGTACAAATTTTTTTCATCCTCAGGTTCGGGCTTGAAATTTTAATGCAATATCACTGTATAGATTTGAAAAGACAATTAATAACTTTAGTGGATTGAAAGTTTAAAGTACTCCTTAATCAACCCTAGAAAGCCCAAACTATTGGAAGATTTCATTCAGTTTCAATTTTTCAAAAGTAAACGCAAGTTCCTTTATTTAAAATTGCTCTCTGATACAAAAACAGACGATCGAAGATTAAAGTCCAAAATTTTGAGGACAATTTTCACCCTCTTTTCAGCTTCCTAGGGTTGAAGTCGAGTCTACGAAAGTAATTGCGGTGAAATTTGAGGAATTAACACCTGATACATTCCACCAACACAAATAGACGTTCGAACAGAGTGGAATGAGCGGCTTGCAGAACCCTAGTAAAAATCGATCCCCCAGCCAGTTGTCAGTCGAGGCGGCTCTAATTAACTTAAAGGAACGTCGCGTATAAATGACAAATGAACCTGAACCGCGACACCGCGCATGCATCATTCAGTGTTCAAAGTCTAACCGCCTTCAGACCTCACACGTTAGGAGGACGCGTGAATTCCTCGAATAGGATGTCATATCCCGTTCAACGACAACGCGTTAATCCGATTAAGTCGAAATTGATCTCTTCAGTTTCTGCGGAGACTGTCGGATCGTGGCGATAAAAATTAGGGCTGGGAACGAGGATAATCGAATTCGATGTAAAATTAACGGCTGGTAAAATTGTACATTTTACCTTCAGGTATTAACGGATTGAAAAATACAAACTGAAAATTAAATATGCTTCTGTGAAAAAATTTCATCGAAAATTGTGAAAAAGTAGAAGATGAGACATTCTAAAGGTGTTTAAGCTTCTTTTGTATTCTCGAGTGGTTTCACCTGAATAACAAATTGTCTAATAATTTCAAACTGCATTTCTATGCTACATGAGAACCGAATAAAAAATTCTCTAATAAAATAATTTAGTTATACAAAGAGGTTCAACTTCTTTTGTATTTTTACCTGCTTTTCTGTGCTAAACGAGAAGCAGATAAAAAATTCTCTAATAAAATAATTCAGTCGCGCAAAAGTGTCCAACTTCTTTTGCATTCTGAAATAATTTTCAGGTGCGTTTCTATGCTAAATGAAAAGCAAATAACAAACTAATTCTTGAAATTCTTTTACACTCTCGAACAGTTCCAACCACGTTTCTCCGCTAAATAGAAAAAAAAAGAACACCCATTTAATTGTAATTTTCCCTGTTGACTCGCAGATGCTCGCAGCCAAGCAAGTTCTCAGAGTGCAGGAACGCGACGACGATACCGGTGTCTGCGATACTGGAGAGCCAGGGTGGCGCCAGGGGTTCCGGTCTTCCATTATGGGCGAACACGGCCGTCCTCCTGGCGTTCCTCGTCATATTCCGCACCCTGGGCTACCTGGTGTTGCGCTACTATCGCGTGCCCAAGTGAACCGGCTGACCAGGGAGCTTAGCCCGGCTTCAAAACTGCCGCCACATCCACGACTGGATCGACGGGCGTCGGGACGGCATCGCCACGCCAACGGGAACACGTTCTCGTCGTCTTAAAATCCCATCGTTCACCCTTCGTTTCGTCACGGCGACCGACAGAGTAGCTCGCGGGACCGGCTGACGAGAGAAGAACGCGAAAGTTTATTTTTCCAGGAGAAGCTCGGTCGTCTCAACCTTTCACAGGGGACGACCAATCGATTGGAGGTGGTTCTAAAAAGATTCTCACCCTGCATGGATATATATACACACGTACACACATGACGACGAGGGAAACCACGTTTCTTTTTCGGGGGTACGTGTCAATTTTAGGGTGAAACTTAGAGTGAAAACTTGGAGAGAGTAACTCTCTGATAGACACGTACTCTTTGAATTTCGAGAAAAATCTAATTAACATTTCTCCATCGCGCCGAAGGAAGGTTCTATCTCGTTGCATAGAAGAATTAAACGGACATGTTAGATTCTTTTGAGAAGTGAGAGAGAGAGAGAGAGAGATGAAAAGTTGTGTGGTTATGGATTTGGTTAGGAAGTGTGTATATTCGAAGTATAATATGTCCAACTGAGTTTCTCTTCTCGGGTTTCTCTTCTCAGGACCACCTGCCAATTAAACCGATAACCGCTATTTTAATTACCGAGCGATTAGCGACTATTTTTATTAATTGTACACGCATCTCGCAGAATAGAATACCTCAGATAGACACAGGGAACCAGCGACCTAAGCGAAACGAGGGGTTTTAGGTGGTTTAAAAAAAATATGTTTAGACGGGGGATAGGCGAGCATATCGATGGTTTTTTTTTTCCTTGCTCGTTCCCGATGGCGAACGGCGACGAGTATGAACGCGGCGCGTGCGGACGCGTCACCGAGAGACTTGGCGAAGACTATACATAAGATTGTACACGTAGATATCACGTGGCGTAAGAGGAGTATATAAGAGAGAGAATGAACGAGGGAAAATGAAGCGAAAACACTTTTGTTTTAATTTCTTGCGGCAACAAGGGTATAACGACAGAGCAGAAGGTGTACATGATATGTGTGTGTATGCTTGCGTGCGTGCGTGTATATCTGAGCGTGTGTGTACATTAGCGAAAGGACGAACGGTGAAACGAGAATGAATGGAAAGAGCGAATGAAAACTGTAGGGTGAGAGAGAGCCATTTTTTCGTTTATTTTTTTTTTGGAAGAATCGACGCGACGTCGAGACGTCGCGAAACCGACTGAAAACAAAAATATATACGACATACATATACGGACACATTTGTACGACGAAACCGTTTCTTACACGCGAAAACAGAGGGGAAAAAAGGGGATAAAAACAGAAATAAGAGGGAACCGTGCATACTACACAAAAGGCAGAGAAATGGGGAAAGAAAAATGTCAAACGAAACAACCAGCATGTTGAATCACCCACATACACAACAGCGACAAGAAACACTTAGGCTTAAGAGAGACGTAAGAAGAAGAAGAAGAAAAAAAAAGAAGAAGAGGAAAAGAAGAAAACTTTTTGAGAGAATCGTTCTTAGCGACTATCCACGTTTTACTTTTTACTTTTATTACCGCTGAATACAATCTACCGCTAAATCTAAGACGACGATATTCGCCCGTAGCTGGTAAGGTGGACAAGAAGCTGCTGCTAATTCTTACTATAACTACTACTACTACTACTACTACTACTACCTACTACTACTACTACCACTACTACTACTACTTAGTACTTTTTATTAATCGGAGAAGAAAAAGTGAACGCTGTAAAAGGCTGCGTGAAAGAAAAGTAAGGAATAGTATCGAGCGAGAAACGAACGTTCGTATTAAATATATTAATGTACATACATACATATATCGACACGTATATTTATGTATTTACATATACATATATATATATACACACACACATATATATATAGGCTGCCAATTTCGATCGATTTGTAGAAAGGGGAAAGCGGGAGGGAATCGTGAGATTAAAGAAGAAAGAGGTACACGTGTGCAGAGTGAGAATGAGGAAAGAATGAGACTTCTGATGAATACACGAATTTCACAAAAAAAAAAAAAAATTCGAAGGACAATGAAAGAGAGAGAGAGAGATATGTTTAATAGCAATTAGTAATTGTTCAACGTGTCACACGTGCGTCGCCGCGAGCAACGAGATATATAAAATAGATACAAGTTGAAGAATTGCTCGAGAAGAAGGGGGTGGAAGAAAAATAAAAAGAAGAAGGGGAAGAAAGAAAGAAAGAAATTACGCGACCGTGAGAAGGTTCGTGAAACGTGGTCTCTTCTTAGTAGCTTGGCTATGGCTGAGAAGATCCAGGGAGATCTGAGTCTAACCTTAGAACGTTTGTTGGTCTCTGACACGTATATGTATAACTCTATGTGATGTTTTTTCTAAGGAGCTCGACGTGTTTAGAAGAAGAAAGGCGAATAACGGGGATCCAGAAACGAAACGAAACATTTAGACGAGCGGTGTAGTAATTCATTGGCTACCTTGTGTATATAGAAATGATATATATATATATATGCATATATATATATATACATATATACATACAAAAATATTATATATATAGAACTATAATAATTATTATTATCATTATCGCATGTACAATGTGAATCACGGACTGAACGAGGAGGCATGCGACGCTTTTCTTTTCTCTTTTCTTTTTTTTTTAACTTCATTCTTGTACATGCACCGACAGGGAGAAAAAAAGCGACATATATACACCGATCACAGAATATATATCTATATATATATATGTATGTATACAACACACGCAAACGTAAAACAACAAGAACAACAATTCTACGTGTACAGTGCTCTATTATCCGGAGATCTTTTTTCTTCTACGTCTTTTTTTCGATTTTCGTTTGTTTCTTTAACCAAAATGAGGTCGTTCATCTGTGTTGCGAAAATCGTGACAATTTCGAGAAGAAGAAGCAGAAGGAGAAAAATTGCAATCGCGAAAGGAAGGGGAGAAAACAGTTGACTTACCCTGGAAATTTACACACGAGCAGACACACACACACACACACACACGTTCTACACAAGCGTACATGCGAAAAGTACAGAAATCACGGAGAGCCAGTGTTCGTTGTAATAGGCAAGTTGTAATAGTTAGATTGATTGTCGTCGGCTGACTCAGGAGATCGATATGTATAAAAGGAGAGGAATCGATCTGTGAGAAGTTAGGAGGGACCGTGTGTGCTTTTTTCCGTCGGCCAAAAACGGGCTACGTTTCGATTCTGTGCGACGATACCGGACGAGACTCGACCATTTCCCCCGCTAAAATTCGAGCCTTTACACGTTCGAGAGAATTCATAGGGACCATCGCGCGTCCAACGCGTATTGCATATCCTCGTTCGATCAGAAGACTTACCGTCCGTCGTATCGGTTCCTTTCGATTTTCACCGGCGAGGGAAATATACCCTCCATCTAGGCAATTTATCGAAGAAAATATAACGAAGAGGGTATACGGCGTGGATGTTAAACGAAGAAACGAAGAGAGAAGAGAAGAGGAAAATGGAAAGGAAGAGGATGCTGATCGAGCGATCCTCGATTTTCGAGGACACGCGAACGGGATTCGTCCGGTGCACGCACAAAACGCAATATCCACCAAGTGTTCAAGTTGGTTCGACGACGTCGAACGAAGAGTGGGTGGGTGGGTAAAGAAAAAAAAAAGAAGAAGAAATTCGAAGAGAACGAGAGTTTGCTTCCCAATAAAAATGTAGGATTTAAGGGGATCGATCCGCGGGGGATGACGAGGAGTGACGAGGAGGAGGAGGAGGAGGAGGAGTGTATCGGGACAAACAACACGGGGTAACAGAGAGATGTTTAAACAAAGATTTGGCTGTGTCAATGTCTCTAACGATTTATTCATTCTTAACGCTTTCTTTTTTCTACTTAAACGATTTTTAGATCGAAATGGAAGGACGAGTGTGAATGGTGGAGGTTGCGGAAGAGAGTGAAAGAGAGGGAGGGAATGGTCTGGAGAAACGTCGACGAGGGACACGAGAAAGCTGGAGAGAGTGCGAGAGAAAGAGAGAAAGGAGCAGCACAACACTGGTTTGAAGAAAAAGAGAGCCCCGCCGTTCGAAAGTCGTTCGTCGAACGAATCCGTTTTTGCGTTCAGTTTTCTTCTTCCCTCGCTCTTCATCTGCGAGCAAAACAGAGCTTCTTTCGTTGACGATCGTGTTTTTACTATTTTTTCTTTCTTTTTTTTTTGGTGAGAATATCGAGAGTACCGCGAAATATCACTGCCAGGCAAGGATGAATATTCGGTATTCGAGACGATCGAACTGTGTTAATATGTTCAACTCGACGATACAATGGTGTAAATGGGAAAAGGAATGAACTCTCCACTTCTGTCGACTTCGACAAAACTGTATTTCTCTCGATTTAGCGAATACAATCTACTGTAACTTTGTAATAAAGTGTCTTTCGAGCTACGTATATTTATACAGTATATATCAGATTTTGAACATCTACATCTCTATTACTAAAAACAGAAAAACATTCAAAAGTTGTTTCATTCGAGGAAGAAAATCGAACCGTAACTCTTACAAACGAAACTGAAATCAAACAACTTTTGTATGTGTCCATTCAAGCCAGACATACTCTCTCTGCTTTTTCCCCCCACCTTCGGAACATATTAACACGGTCCAATCACCAGGCATTCAAGTCTCCCGATAAAATCAACACGAGCTATTCAAAACACCGGTGGAAAAGACGAGAAGCACAGTGTTGTGGTTACAATCTCGAGGAGAAATCCACGCGTTAAACGCCGCAAGGAAAACACACTTTTCCCTCTTGTCGCGGAGACTTTTTCTCCCCGCGATTGTGCCGCACGCGAGAAACGGAACGACGCGCGTTTTCACCGGAGAAAGAAAAACCGTTTCCCTTTTTTCTACCTTCGCCTCGCAATTTTCCGTTCCTCGATCGACGAACGACCACTT